TCTTCTTCTTCTTCTTCTTCTTCTTCTTCTTCTTCTTCTTCTTCTTCTTCTTCTTCTTCTTCTTCTTCTTCTTCTTCTTTTCCTATATCTTTCAGCCTATATCCATGAAAAGAGCTTCCATTTTTTGATGGTTAATTTTCAAATCCCACTAGTTTTCCATAGTTGATAATTTCTTGGATAATTATTGGCAGTTCTTTTATTGGTTCAGATAAAAAGAGTGCAATGTCATTGGCACATACATTCACATTCTGTTCACATAAGATTCTACTGTCTTACAAATGTTCATTATTTTGGATTCTCCATAATAGCAGCTCTACATCCCTGCCTTGTCACTTTAAAGATCTGGAACTTTTCTGACTCAAAATTATTAGCTCTTACTGTGGCATTTAAAGTATTATATAGTTTAGCTGAGCAAAAGTTATGACCCAAGTTGTATTTATTTAAGATTTTCCTAGGAAAGACAATTCTAACTGATCAAAGGCTTTGAATGCATCAAGAGTAAAAACAGTCAAAGGTGACCAGTATCTCTTGTTGCATTCAAGAAGATTTAGCATAGTCTAATAAAATCTGAGACTTACTTTCCTTTCACAAAGCCATATTAGTCTAAATTAATACATTATTTTATTAATTATTTCAGTCTCATGGCTAATATAGATGGTAAAAATCTTTACATCATTTTTTAAAGAAAATGAATCACAGCCAGACTCACTTTTGTTCATACTGTTCACATTTGGTTTGGTTTGGGTTTTTTGTTTTGTTGGTTTTTTGTGTATCTGTGTTAATCCCATGATAGCTGCCCAGAGTCACAATTGTGAGTTGGGTGACCATATAGACAAATATAAGTTCATTCCAACAAGATCCATGAAATTAAATACGAAGATTTCAATAAAGTCATTTATTTGACCCAATTATCCTTTACTTTTTAACAGTTTGCATATAATTATTTAATTCTCTGCTCCTTTCCATTATTGTCATTCCTCAGAATCCTACGAAATGCTAAAAGGTGTCTTCCTGTCAAGTGGATGAAATTAAACAAATTGATGCATACTTTAAACTTTTAGCTTTGCCATGGAGATAAAAGATTTGGTTATATCCACAGCATATATTATGCTGACTTTAGCTCGTTATCTATAAATAACCCTTGAGATCACATAATAAATAAAACTGAAACAAAGAAAATCAAGAAAAGTTAAAGCAATCAAAAATAGTGACAATTTATCACAATCCCAGTCATGGCTATTTCAAGGTAAAGCCTACTGAGTTCAGTACTGATTAATCTGGATAAGTGAGGATCAGACTGTGGTCTAATCGTCCTGAATAAATTATTAGGATGGGCACCAAGGGCCCTGGTCTGTACTAGACAGCTACGTTACATACAAAGTAAGAGTACGGCAGTACTACTAGAGACTAATGCTTTAAATGGTTCTCTCTTCCCTTACTTGGCAGACATTGTGCTATGCACAGAAATGGCATAGACCTTCTGCTCTCCTTTGCATGTTAAGGCCCTTCGAGCTTCCCCCCATTTACAGCTCATATTTTCTCTAACAAAAACACAGTCTTGTGCCACAATATAAGTTAGTCACAATGTTGTTTTTGCTGCAACCAAATAATGCAGCTGCCCTTCTAGACTTTTCCACAAACAGTAACACAGATTTGGAAAACATGCAGACACGCTCTCTAATTCAAATATGGCATCCATTTCAATCAGATGTACTTCCAAATTAGTTTGTTTTAGACTGCACATATTTATGCTTTGCTTTTTACAGTGTATACATCTGATGGAAGTCAATATGCAGCCAAAATAGGAATACGTATGCGTTGTATTAAATGGTGCTATTTAAAAAACAGCTCTGCATCAGATCTGAGTTAAATGCCCTCAAGGAAGGGGCTTCTGATATCATACCTGAAAGAAGTGCAGAAACAAACGTTGTTGGCATGTTTGACTCACACAGGCTCCTCTTTTCTCCCCTTTCCTCTAACAATACAGTTGCCATGTACCGAGAACCCTCTCTACATGATGTTGGAGAAACAGTGCCAAAGGCTGGGGTGACGCCAAGTAAAAGCACAAGTGCATCGGCAATAATGAATGGAGGCAAACCAGTGAACAAGAGTAAGACCACATAGCCAGAGCCTCGTGGGTGTGGTGACTTACTGAACTCTCTATGTACAGCTGAGCACTTTATCCTTGCAAGACTCTCCCACTCCGGTGTCTGTGGATTAGCTGGAAGCAAGCGACGGCTTGCTCTGTGCTCGTTCCAAATCTGTAACTCCTCCCACAGCAAAGACATTTGGATGACCAGCTGAACTCCGACCATAGAATGCCCTGCCAGTATGGAATGCCTTTTAATCTCTTTTCTGTGACTGTGACACCTCATGTGAATGGCATACTTCACAAGTACACTTGATATCTTGCCTGCTGACAGTTACCCATAACTCCCCCTTTGGAGCCCAGGAAACCCCCGTGTTTTAAGTTCAATTTTGTAGCCCACAGAATAATAACAAGTAATTTCTAGGTAGATGCTGTAAAACCTGTGCTATTATGGATTTTCTCTTCCTCCCCTTTTTTACGAGGCTGCTTGCTCCGCTGTCTGTGTGACTCCTTTGCAGGGATTATGTTTCTCTCAGATTTAAGTGTTGCTGGTGGCTTAGTTCTGGAAAGTCATCAGGGAATTAGGGGAGCCTTCAAAACCCCATTAGGGATCATACCTGTAAAAGATGGGATTACTGCAGGTAAGGAGTCAGCCTGAATACACTCCAGTATGTTCCTGAGGAGGGAAAAGCATCGTGCGTGGCTAGTCAACAACCTTTCAAGGCCAATGTTTGATACCCCCTGTGTGTGTGTGTGTGTTTTATACATATCACAGACTTACTGGTAATGGTAACATTTGCCTTGCCCAGCGAGCAAGACCCACATATTTTTAAGAAAGTGGGTCCAAAGAACTCTGTAGGCCTTGTAGGCCTGAATTAAGGCTCATTTTTCATCTACTAGTACTCATTATCTGAAATTTAAAAAAAAAATTAGAATGAATGGGAACTGTGCTACCTAAGCCTCTTTCAAAACAATAGATTCCTTCTCCTGTTTTTAAAGAAATGGAACGTAATCCCATCTTTATTTATGGCTGTAGTTCACTCTTTTATTCAGCAAAGCATGGGCAAAGAAGTTGTGTTTTTCTCTGCAGCAACAATGCAAAAGGTAGTTACAGAACATACTTCAACATTTTCAGTGTTCAAAAGAGAGGGAAGATTTTAAACATATTTCAAGGGTTCCTTTCTGTTTATTTGACAGCTTAGCATGCAAAGTCCAGGCAATGTATTATTTTATCTGTACCACAGCACTATGTTTCCAGTCCAGCTTCTTAGGATATTATGGCCACTAAATTGCTAGGTTTTCAGTGCCTTGCATTTATCTAACTATTTTGGTTTTCACTGTATTCCACAAACCTAAGAAAATTCCGACAAAATAGCAAGGTCAAGAACTTTTCTCCTTTGATTACTAAATGAAATAAATACCACTAATATTTCTTGGATAGAGAACACTGAGGCCAAAATGAAAGAATAGTAACAGGGAAGAAAAGGCTATTAAACAAATGGATAAATTTTTTGAAAGTACATACTAGAAAGCTAGATTAAAAACAGAAAGCATGATATGGACCAAAATGTATCTTAGTTCTGGAAAATCATGTATGAGACCTCTAAGCGTTCATATTCCATTTCATTTTTGAGACTTTTTTTCAAAGTGGCTTTAAATATTGGTTTACTTTAATATTTGTTATGGAATGTTCAAATTTCTTATTTGGGTTGATGATAATAGATTACACTTTGAATTAACTCTTGAATCTTGATTCATATCAGCTCTATTTGAATTAGTAAGCCCTTAAGATATGTGTGAGAAGATTACAAATTGCTACTAGGTTATAAATATACAAAATGAGTATTTGATCATTCAATTTCTGGATTTCTCCATGCATGGTAAGAGGCTGTTTTAAGTCAGTTTCTTTCAGCCACATGAGTTGAAGCACATTAAACTGTATTCAGTTTCCAGAATTTAGTAAAATTTTTAAAAACAACAGCCACAAAAAAGATTTATTGAGGTACTCGGTGCACAAAAATGAACAGTAAACATCCTTTTGCTCCTTGGCTTCTAGAGAAGGAATACCTCAGAGGTTCCTCTTGGGAAGAAGGCCATTTTGATTTTGTCACCACACAGGGGAGAAAGGAGTGATGTTGGTTCAGCACAAGTAGATCAGCAGGTGGCCTGGGTGATTCATGGAGGCATTCCATTTGCAGATGCATTTGGTGTCTGCCCAGGTCTGCCAACCCACCGTGTTTGATTCTGAATTGTGAAATGTTTTGTGTTTTTTTTCTAGAGCCCCCGCTATTAGAGACTGCTTACTTTGATTTTCAGTATATTTTCTGTACTGTGCAACTGAAAGCTCTGAAACAAGAATGCAAAATAAAAAGATGTTAAATGTATTCTTTTCCCTTCATTTTAATGATGTTGTATGAAGCTGGAGAGGGACAGGTTGGGGCTTGTGGATGACCTCAGGACTTGGAACCAAGCGTAAGGCACCAAGCGTAAGGTGAGGTAACATATTATCACTTTGTCAACTCATTTTATAATGCCAGCAAGAATTGGGTTTTTTTATATACCTGCTGTATGTTGCTCCAGACTTGCATTCATTGCAACATAACTCTTTGAGGGCATTCTGCTAGGGCAATTCTTTCTCTTTCCATGTACAAAGAAGCTTTGGGGCCACAGTCAAGGTTGGCTAAACGGGACTATTCTCTTTTGCCAGTTCCAATACCTTCACTTAATTTTTACATTCATGCCCATACTGCCATACCAACCAGCCATGTGGTTAATAATAAGACTGATTTCATGTTTGTAAATGATTGACACTGTGCTATAAGTAGGACACACGTATTCCCCTCTTTGTTGTAATGGGTGTAGGTTGCCTTCACACCTTCCGTAACTGGGAGGATCTTAAATAAGCTTATTTGAGAATCTAAATCTATTTCAGCACAGAGGAGAGAATGTGTGGTTCCTTGTGCTTTGGTTACTCTTTTAAGTTTGTCTTTTGTCTCATCTGTTTGCATGGGAAAGGGATGGTAATAATGAATTGCATGTAGTAGGCTATATGTATCAGACCTGTTGGTATGTACTGCAAAACTGACATACATATAAGCAACGAGTTTGTCTGCATTGTACAGTTTGTGTTTATTACCATTTTGTTGTATACACAGATACAGCATATTGAATAAAATATTTATATGAAACACATATTAAAAAATACCCTTTATATATTTTTTAAAAATGTGCAAAGTAGCACTGCAATGGTTGCAGTATAATGAGACATGTAAATAGTTTGGCAAAACTCAATTCTCTTTCCCCAGACCATGCCAAAGAAAATTTTAGCTCCTTGGTATATTACCTCTCTTGCTGTTTTCCAGGACAAGATGTCACATTTGGTTCCCTTTCAAAATAATGTTGCTGTCAAGTGAAACTTTCTTTTCAACTGCCTGTTACTTCCTAAGGATCTGTACAGTAAATCTGATGGAATCAATTTGTATTTACAGATTGTGTGTGTTATACTTCCATGTACACTCTATCTCTACGACTGAACCTTCTCTGTTAAGTTTCCCCGTTTGGGGTCTTAATCCCCAAGCGAGTTGCAGAATGCCTAAAACACAGGCAATATGACCAATAAAGTTAGTGATGACAGACCAGCCAAGTCATGCAGTTCTAACTTAAGTAAACACCCCATTTAGGCTGGCTTTTTGGTTCATATCTACAGAGAAAACACTTTTTACTGGTGTATATGAAAAGTCATTCTAACATAAAGGGCAAGGTGCAGAGATCAGAATCCGCCCCCCATAATAAGTGGGGTCAAAATGTTGGACCCTCTTTGTATGTGGGGAAGTTTCTGAGAGCCAAAACTGGTGCCTTAAGCTTTGAGATGTTTCAGGCTCCCATTTTGCTCCCCCAAACTTCTAAAATTCCCTCCCAAACAGGCCTTAGCCTCTGTTTAATGTTGGTCTTTAATAGGGAACATATCAACCTAAAAAGAAATCCCAGTGAGCAAAATTAGGTTTATTCGCTAGTATTTGTGCTTACAGTTCAGTTTTCTTTGTTTAGCAGGCAAAATAAAAAAAAAAAGCACATTTTGTAAAATGTGAACTAACTGCATTTAAAAAACATCTCTGTTTCTTGCTAAAGTGAGAAGTAGATCTTTCCCATTTTGGGTTTACACATTTTCCAGGTAGTCTTATTAGTCCAGCAACATTCATAAGCTCCATACCAAAGTATAGAACTTGTGCCTAGATATTTATGAAATCTGATCCACTTGAATTAAGTCCATGTAGTAAAATAACCAAGCATAAAAATGGAACTGGAACTTTAGACATACTGAACAAAACCTACACAATGATTGTGTCACAACAGTACAACAGGCAATTTGGCTTATATATTGTCTAATTTATTGCCAAGAAATCTGGGACTAGGTCTAAACAATACAACACAAGGCCACAAATACCCAAACTTTAATATATAAACGTGCTTGCTTAACACAACATTTGCAGTATTCATAAAAAGCTTGAAGGTGACTGCTCAAGAGGTAGGTGCCGTATCTTTTTCTGACATCTTTTTAGTTCACAGCTGCTTCTGCTGGGACTCATAATGCTAGTCTGATCCGCGTGTGGGAGTAAATGTGTAATAACTCTTTTTCACTGGATCTAAAATGGTTTCCTGCAGAAATTTTCAAAGTTGCAGAATGTGAAAAGCTAGTGTGTCTGTTTTCAGAATTAGCTAGCATCCTGATGTGGTAGCTTTCTATGTGGCAAGGGCTTAATTAAGAAGAAACATTCAAATGTGCACTTTTAAATAAGAATGCATCTTCTTCTAGTTGTTCCAATATTTTAATTGGCTTAAAGATCCTTGCTTTGAAATTGTTGATGTGTATCTCTGTAGAAGTAAAGAGAGACACTTAGATGTCAAGAGACATGTTATTAACAAAATAGGACAGCATCAAAGCATAAAGCCACACCAAAGGGTTTTGTTTGTTTGTTTGTTTTTTGTGTTGTATGTATCGTATTGAAATATTTAGTTTAGACAATAAACATTGCTTGTTTACAAGCCTAAGTAAATGACACTGAAGCAGAAGTGTTACAAAAATGGTATGATTGCTTCTTTAAAATATGATTAGCAGTAATTGTGCATTGGAGTTCTGCTTAATAGCAAATTCTGTTATCTGCTCCCCAACATCTACAGATAAATGAGTTTAGGGTGGTGTACAAGTGATGTGTTGCCTTCAGACTCTCTTATTCTTTCCCAGCCTTCCCCAGGGATCAAAGGAATCACTTACTTGACATGTGGCATGCTGTGTATTCCATTTCCCTGAATTAATTATAGGCAAGGAAAGGTATCTAACCTTATTTCAGATACACTATGGAGTGGGAAGTTTATACATTCCCTACCATCACCTAGAATCCTTAGGTGAAATGGCCCATTGGTACCACGGATTATTTAATTATAAGCATGAACAGACAGCACTTGAACAAGCAACCAGCCACAAAGCTGCCAGATTTTTACTGTATTATAGCTGGCTTTGTCTATCATGTTTCTACTGAAATTTGGGGAGGGAGAGTGCCAGGTTGATAATTTTGTGTTCTTTTTCCAGTGTATTACAGATGGAACCACTTGTTGATACTTAGAATGTTACTTCAAAAATTCACCACAGGAAACCCTTTTTGTATTTTGCTTTTGGGGCCATATTCAAGCGTTTGTTCCTGATTGGTTAAAAACAACAACCACAACATGTTCCTGTTTTAATACATCATATTGCACAGCTGCAACCCATTCTACTGTGCAATTTGAATAATTCATTCCAGACTGATATTTGGAGGTAGTGGAATTAGAAGATGGCATAAAAAGGACAGAATAATAATCTCTGAAGAATGGGCTGAAGAATGGGCTGTTTCATACCCATGCTGGAAAATGACTGACTGACTGAATAAATAAATAAATATTTCATTATGGCCAGGGAGCAGAAAATTTAAGTAAAGCTGGCAATGAAACAGTAAATAAAAGAGTTAAAGGTAACAGTAAGATAACTCACAGCAGTAAGATAACTTGCATCACTCATGCTTCATGCTACACTCACTGAACAACACTTTGTGACATGTCAAGAAATTAAGTCATTCTGGTCTGATCTGACAGTAACAAAGTGCTAGAAGAGTGGTGGGGTTTTGAGCAAGTGTCCTTACAAAGAATGTAAAGACCCACTTCATTCTATAAAGATGCAGACAATATGATGCTAGTTGTTATAATACACTATCAGCTTCATTCTATAGAAAGGAAGCCCAATGTCACTGAAACCAATTAAATTAGAGGACTGGGCAATTTGTGGCTTGCAAACAACAATGCAACTTGGTATTTTGGTGGCGGAGTCGGCACAAATTGCTAGCACGGTTTTCCATCATTCTGGAAACTGAATAATGAAACTGTAAAATAGAGCTAATACTTTTCAAACCCCAAAAAACTCCCCATCCACCCCCAAACTGAAAAAAAGGTAATTCATGACCGTGTCTACATGTAACATCGCTGTACTTACTATTGCCTTTTCCCCCACCCCAAAAATTAAGTGTATTCCCACCACTACTGAAAGATTTAGCAACCCTGATTTACAAATCAGTCTAAATTGCTAAACTTGATGGCTGAAGACTGTCTTGAATGAGCTATCAGCTACTTCTCAAACAGTAACATATGACCAAGGCTTATAACCACCAATTTCAAGGCAATGCATGGATGACTAATTCTTGGCAGGTGACAGCATCTTGCTGCATTGTCTTGGCTTAGACGCTAAGTGGAGTCAGGGCAGGTTAATATTTGGATGGGACACAACCAGGAAATTCCAGGGATGTAGGCTAGATAGGGAAGTTGGCAAACATCTCAGAACAAAGCAACAGCAAACCACTTCAGAACTGTTGCCAAGGTAAGTCTGTGAACAGAGACATAAAGGTATTAAGAGTTGAACTCTGAAGACTATAAAAAAGAAAAATGAAACTTGAGTACAAAGGATGTAGTGCTTTAAGAATTGGATTGTTTTTGCAAGTATCAAAACAAAAAAATGCATGATTTGCAGAAGGTGAGAAGGTTGTAACTGTCTTCCAGATGAAATGCTTCCAGCCTTCATGAGAGAGCAGCACAGCAAAGCTTCTGCAGGAACCTGAAAGAAAGACAGTGCTGCTTTAAGGAGTCCAGACTTTGAAGTTAATGCCACTCTTAAAGCAACAGCATCTTTTCTCATACCTGCATTAAAGCCTGAAAAAAGTTGGGCTGCTCTAGTGAATTTAGTAACTTCATAAAGAGGTGCTGTGCTAGCATGCATGCAAAATCCAAAATGCTTTTGAAGCATGCATAACCCTAGTCTCTCTCTCTGTGTATGTGCAGATACACATTTTGTTGCTGTTGTTGCTAGCCAAAATCAATCCACTGAAAGATGAAGGCCTCTGCATTGCAGGTTATGGGCTGTAACTGACCACCCTGGTCCAGCATGGGTTGGTAAGTGGTGTTTTTTGCTTTCCCAGTCTAGGGCTGAGAAAGTGTGTCTGGCCCAAAGTCACCCAGCCCTGATGTGTGCCCCTTTCTTGTCACTTTCTCCTTCATGGCAGGCACCTGAAAAAATTAACCGCTAAGAGAAAAGGGGCTGGAAAAGGAGAAATTTCTGCCCAATGAACTTTTAGTAGGCACATTTGGCAAAACAAATTTAAAAATGCACCAGTGAGGTTCTTTTCTGCCTAAGATGCTGGCCTGATGTTGAAGATACCAAATTTAGTGGTATTGACCACTGAGCCAAATCATTTGAATGGAGGTAAAGGATAAAATAATAGGAGATGCTCCTTTTCAAGGGATCAGAGTGCTACTGCAAAGTAAGAGCCTAGGTTAGGTTAACTTTTCACACAGGCTTTCTTTTCTCCTTCTTGTTTCTGTAAGTATTTTAGAGCTTGGAGTTTGTATGCTCAACCCTAAAGGTTCAGAGCATTCCAACATTCTTTTTGATTAGGCTTCTGTTTCCCTGCTCCAAGGGATTTCTATCACATTCTGTCCCCCTGTTTCTCAACCTTGGCAACTTTAAGATATGTAGATTTCAACTCCCAGAATTCTGGGTGTTGAAGTCCACCCATCTTAAAGTTGCCATGGTTGAGAAACACTGTTCAGTCCCATGTAATATAAAGGCAAATACTCCATCTGTTGGTTTTGACACCACGATGGAATTCAGTCCATGCAGAATGCAATTCACACTACCCCAACAGAATGCCTTTTTATAGATTAGTGGCAGAAGCCACAATGCATGTAACATTTTAGATCTCAGGCATCAAGTCATGGTTACCAATCAGAAATTGCATTTTATTTTCAGTCTCTTTTCAATTACCCACCTGTAGGAAGCCACAGTCCTCCTGATTATAGGTTTCACCAGGTTTCCCATTCATTTCAGTACTTCTCTGTGATTAAAGTGGGTTAGACTTAAGCATGGAGAAGCAATAACCATACTGCACCAGTAGCATATGTTTTTGGCTACAAAAATTGTCCCTGCCACAATATTAATACACCCAACAAATGTTTAATGGATCCTTCTAGCTGCAGTTGGTTTGTAAAATCCCCTACTTCCCCTGTATAGAATAATTTCTTTTAGGACTATTAGTCAAAGGAGCATCTGAATTCTCATTTCAACATCAATTATCTAATAATATTGCATCAATATATTTTTGGAAATGCAAACTTTGCAAATGACATGCTGTAGCTCTAAGGACTATTTGCATGATGATGCATGTACATAACTCTTAATAGTGCATTATGCAAAGACATTTAGAGGTCACTGTACCTCGCTGCCCTTGTGAATACAGGTTCAGGTCTGAAATAAGTATTATGCTTTTAAAAAATCAAGATTCTTATGGCACATGGGAGGGCGGGCAGAAAACTCTGGTGTCCTACTGCAATTTCACATTACATCCATTTATTTATTGTAGGGTTTTTTTTCCTGGTTCATTCATATCTGCTCTTTCTACAAAATACCTGCAAATTTTTTACAGTAATTATACATATATACTTTTGCCAGTGGTGGAGTCCAGAATTCAAATATAGCCATCCAAATTGCTGCAGAAAAGTAATATATTAAACATTTTATATTAAAATGCAGTGCTTTCCCAAACATGTAAGCAATTCAGCTACTAAGGTTTTATCCTGATTTTACACAAAAGATAAGTGCTTTGAAAAGAAGCTATTTTTTTTCCCTTGAGGAACTAAAGAACTGGCAAATGGTATAAAATGCAATTATATGCAAATAAAGCTGGACACCCCCTCCCCATTTTTTTTTTAAATAACTCAATGTTAACTCTACAGTGAATAAAATTCTGCCACTGAAATTTTAAAAAATATTCCGGAGACTTCCCCGCTTGTATATGTAAACCATTCTTATGGCACGTAATAGTGCAGATGGATATAAAGCTGGCAGTGGCATCTGGTATCCTTGGCTAGGCACCTGGATCCCAGAGCCCCAGCTGGACCCATCCTGTCCCTGCTATTGGTTCAATTTTTTCCCCCCAATCTGATCTGATCTGATCATAATCCCATTCTGGAAACTACTTCCCAGCTACTATTTGTTTGCCAAAGTGCCCAAGAGTGACAACACTTTAAAGGCTTTATGGAAAATAGAGGCTCCAACCAGCTGATCTCAGCACTGATACCCACCATTGCCAGGCTAGTATAGCAGTGACTACCGATAGAAGGAGCCTACAAGGGCCATTTTGCCCCATTCAGCCTGGAGATGGACCCGGGTAAAGACTTTTTCCCTAGGAGGCCTTCAGGCTGTTTTTGTTCTCTTTTAAAAATGATGTTTGATATATTCTCCATAGGACAATGTCTTTCTGCACTAAGACATTCTTTATACTGGGCGTGTATAACAACCATTCCTAAATAAGTTGTACTTATCATCCAACACAGTTTCATTTATTTAAAATCAGAGACAAAACAAAAAGGGATTTTAAGATAATACAATAAGATCATCAACACATAAAAAATATGTCAATGATTTGTCAACCACAGAATTAACTTTAAAAAATCAACCTTCCCCCAGATGAATAGATGTTGCTACTTTGACAAGCCAAAGAGAACACACCAGAGCTAAGTATAGCAGAGTAGGAGCTGCAGCACCAGCTGGGTTGCCTGGCTGGACTACAAAAACAAAAGGATGATCTAGCTGTGGCAACTTGCACTAGGTGGCTGATTATTTGATAGGGTTATAAATTTATCAGCTGCATTTTCCAGTTCAGGGCTTATTCGTGCATCTACAAACCCAGGAGATATGAAGCAATAAGCCTACTCCTGCACAGGCCTATCTCACTTGACAGTAATGGATTTTCATATCTAGGAAAGTTTTTGCACATCATTAAGTCATCATATAATGACCCAACTGACTAGAGCTGAATATAGCAATGGTACTTGGCTATAACACCTCACCGGATGATGTTTTTGCAGAGATTGAAATAAATGATCTGAGTTTGCAACCATGCTTGCCGAAGATCAATATATATATTCCATTCCATTAATGCGAACAAGGAGGCTAACTTTTAGACAAGCTGGAGGAGCAAATACTATTGCATTTAAGGGCAAATGGAAATCCTCAGTAGAAGACCCAATACTCTCAATAGTGTAGCCCTTTCTCTTAGTTATGAGAACTCTATTGTATGTATCGAATGCTTTAGAGTTCCTGTAAAGTTAGGTACCTCAAGGCCAATAACCTCTGAGACATGTCTGTTCACACAAAGATGCCTTTTTGGTTTTTCCTTCTCTAAAAAGAATTGCTACCTTCAGCCATGAAGGAAGCTCCATCCCAATTGCACTGATTGTTGGATGTGCTCCCTAAAGTCACTAAGTATTGAATGTGTTTTGTTATACACAGCAGGATTAAGCCTGGATATTCATTCTGGTGTACATCAGAGCATACTGAGAGCTGTGAAATATTATACAGGTAGTCCTCATTTAGTGACCATTCACAGTTACAACAGTGATGAAAACGTAACTTTACAACCAATCCTCACATTTACAACCTTTGCAGATCTGTAAAGCAAAGGAAAGCTGAAGTAAGTTCATAAGCCCAATTGTGGTTTCACTTAGCGACCACTTTGTTTAACGACCAAGTTGCAGGTCCCAGTTGTGGTCACTAAATGAGGAGTAACTGTATATGATTATTTATACTAGGAGGCTATTGCAATATACTGAACTTTCAGATGAGAAACATACATAAAGCTACCAGTTTCAACCATTGTATGGTCACATAAATAAAATACATATGAAAACCCTTTTTCTTACAAGATGCAGTCAGATGCTGACTACCTCCCTCAACTTTTGAATATCCTAGGAGTACTCTGTAATAGTTATTTTTAATTATATAAAAGCAAAGTTCTGAAAACAATTTGAAACATCCTACAATGGTACAGAATATCTTGTTTTACATGACCTGACAAATAAGCAGTTGCATAACGGAGCTGGCAATGATTCATCATTACAAAATGAAGCATCTAGTGAATCATATGAGTTGTTAAATGATTTCCAGCCCGTTTGCCCCACAACCTTTGCTTTATCCAATGTGCTCTTGGTAATTTCCATCACAAAAACACCTAAACCAGAGGTTTTATAACCTAGATCTTTTTCGGGTGCAGTTTTTCTCTGCTTGTACAATCCGGTGGACTGAATGGGTCCGTAGACCTGGTAAAAGTTGGACTCGATGGTTTTCTAAACCATTTTGATGTTTCAACTGACTTAATCATATGGAGAAATGCCTTTCAAAGAGATGCCATATGGTATTTTCAGAATTGTTCTACTGGTACCTGTGCCCAGGTAAAAGTCCTCTTTTGTATCAGCTTGCCACATGGAATGCACATTATCTTCTTTTGCTTTGCTGGTGGGATGGGGAAAAATCATGTATGTGTGTGTGTGTATGTACATGCATGCATGCACACACACACACATACTGCTGATACTGACTGACTTTTGCATTCTGAGAACAGTTTTTGATAATCTGGATTTACAACACACACACACACACACACACACAAAGGTACAGATATTCCAAGCAGAATTATCCAAATATATATTTGATATTTTAATCAAAAGGAGCATATCTGATGCAACCCAAAGGAGTGCTGAATAATATTCATCTGGCCAAGCATGAAGTATTTCTCTGCTGCTAAGTGCCCCACAGCATTGCTGGATCTCGATGCCATTTCCCTCTTCTTCTCTTGGGGTCGTCAACTTTGTTCCCATTATTCTTGTAATCCACCTAGTTGTGGTGAAACACGCAAATGACCTCACCAATCTTCCTGTGGGTCATTATACCAGATGAAACGTCATGACAAGATCAGCAAAATCATAAGGCTCACCATAGGATTTCAGCAGCAGTTGGCAAAGGTGACAAAGCAATAGAAATAAAATTATGCTGAGAAAAACAAGCACAGAAGCAAACACTGTATGCTTGCAATGTGTGCCTAAATGACAGACATGGAATGTATTTTTCAAGATTCGGGTGTTTTATTTTTTCCTTTAAAAAGGGGTGTGTGTGCATAAATCAAGACAAATGGTTTGATCTCATTGCTAACCCTGTAGAAGGAAGCAGTACTTTAATGCAGGGAGCAGTGTCCTCAAATGCTCCTATTCTATCTAGCTTTTTTCCCCACAAGTCTTGCAAATAAATGAATGAAGATTGATAGTAAGTGGTAACCTAGACAGCAAGCAGCTTTTGTGGGGATCTATGAGAGCGTGCGAAAGTTTTCAGGAGAAAAACGAACTGATCTCCATAGTCAAAAGGATCCCCTCCATCACTGTCACCACCAATTCGCTCATTTTGCGTCATCCTAAACCATTTTGAATTATTGCACTTAAAACAGTTCTGACTTTACTAGGAAGCTGAAATTCAGTAATCCAAGTGCATTACATAACAAATTTGCCTCACTTACAGCACACACAAAAGCTATGGGAGAGAGAGAGAGAGAGAGACAGAGAGAGAAGGAAAATATACACAGAATTAGAACGATGAGCTACAGAGCAGTGCTTCTTATACTATATTTTAGGAAATATTTTGCTGAGCTGATTGATTAGGACGCATGGATTTCTTTGGTTGTGTCCATTTTACATTTATGTAGTCTAGCAGTCTCATTCTGCACCACCAATCTGTCAGTCTTCAGTGTTTCATGGCAACGTTAGGGATATTCGGCCCCAAGCCAGATCTCACAAGCATTTCCGGTCCAACCTTCCCAGCACTCACAGTTTCCACAGTTACATATACCATTTCCTGGGACAAAACAACACAGGCTATCATGATCCATAATTGAAGTTAAACATGAGATGCTCTGTGAAAGTAACACACCATCAGAAAAGCAGCTTTTATTTTTCTCTCTACATGTTTTCCCCTTCTGGCCTGAACTGAAGCACTCTCGAGGCTTAAGGCATCTCTTCTCCCCTTAGATACCTCTAAACAACCCAAAATCAGGGCCCTGAGAGCCACAAGAGGGACCCTGGTGGATCACACATAAGCCCCAACGTGTTCTTTTTTTTAGATTTTTTATCCCGTCTTTATTATCTTTATAAATAACTCAGAGTGACAAACTTACCTAATACTCCTTCCTCTTCCTCTTTTCCCCACAACAACAACAACCCTGTGAGGTGGGTTGGGCTGAGAAGGTGTGACTGGCCCAAAGTCACCCAGCGGCATTCATGCCTAAGGCAGGACTCACAGTCTCCTGCTTTCTAGCCTGGCTCTTTTCTGCATCTCTGTTCTAAGGAGATCAGATGGTGAGCAAAAACTGAGGTAGGATCCTCTAGGAGGTAGCAACTGCTCTAAAGTAAAACTCACCAAAGTTCACAGTTCAGATGGCATTTCAGCCCAGGTCTCCCCAGTCCAATTCTAGCACTAACAACTCAATATCATTTCCTGCCAGCTAAGGGATCATCTTTCAGGGCATGCTGAGGAATCCCTGGGTCAGGTCAGGCTCCAAGCGGGCTGGACTTGTCTCAAAATGCTGCAGCTGTATTTATCTAGCATTATATTCCTTCTCCTTCCCACTCATATGCACAAACCCAATCACAATTTCACCGAATCTGTTGAGGGATTCCTCAACATGCCCTGAAAGATGATCCCTTAGCTGGCAGGAAACGATATTCTGGGTGTCATTTGCAGTTCTTGGGTGTAATGGAACAAGTTACTCCTACCTCTTTTGTAAATCAGTTTTTTAATGGGAACCGGAAGGGAAGGAAATAGTCAATAAATTCCAATTTGTTCCCCCCCCCCAAACATTCCTAAAGAATGCTCAAAATGACCACTACTTTTCAGGGAGACTCAAACAGGCTCACACATCACCACTGTATGCAATATTGGACAGGTGCCCTGAGATGGTAGGGATAAGTTTAGCTTTCTGTTATAAAACAGAGATTGGCTGTTCTCTCCTTCTGTGTGTGTCTATGTGTGTGTGTGTGTGTGTGTGTGTGTGAGAGAGAGAGAGAGAGAGACATTAATGCTTTCCTGTTGACCCTATAGCCTTTGCTTCATACCCATAGCCCTTTTCTTTTTTCAGGTCTACTTAGTAGGATTTTGCTCACTTCTTCATGAATGAAGACTATCTTTGAAAGTTAGGAAGGCATTTCTTCCCATTCATTTGGAATCATTTGTTTTGCAAAGCAATAACTTGTAAGGGTGCTTTGCCTCTCTGTTTATAGCACAACACGCTCTAAACCAAAGAGGCTGTTAGTTGGGTAAGAGCAGTTTAGACCAATTGCATCTTCTCAGAGAGCAGATAGGTTGAATATAGAGATCATACAACACCTGTGCAAATAAGGCCATCATATTTGTCACAATCCCGGTCATCACATTCACAGAATTCTCCAGTAGTGTACCATTCCTGGGAAGAACAGATGCATTTTCCACAGTGACAGGAACCTGAAAGCACAGAAAAATTATAACTGGCACTTATAGAACAGTAGAATTTTTCAATCAGGCATGGGACATTTTAGGTAATCAGTGCCTATCAATAAATGATTGTCTACAAGGAGATCATCAAGATAAAAGCCTATTGGTGAGAAGGATGTTCTTTGGGGAGCTTTAACTTGAAGGGTTCTTTATAATGCCCTACAGTAATTTCCCTCCATTTTGATTTAATCAGGAGCTGCTTGGAAGAAGGACATTTTGTCTTTGTTCCAAAGCTCTAAAATCAAAGCTATTCTTCTCTGTGGGATTAAAGGAGAGTGGATGAAGGCATGTGAGAAGATTTAGCTAAGGTAAAGGGAAGAGAAAGGAGAAAACCCCAAGGTTACTGAAACTACAGAGATTTAATCAGGAATAAAAACAGGGTGAGATAGTATGAACAAATCTCATTGGACTGTATATTATCCTTTAGCATTTTTTTTTTTTGAGCACTTTTTTCCCAGACCAGAGTGTAAACGTTTGGGCATGAGCTCTATGAAAAGAACAACAGTCCCCTAGGGTTTCACTCTATTAGGTGTGCTTTACCTAATGCCACACCACACTGTACCAGGACGTCCATCTTTTTAATAGTCATTTTTTTCTGCACGGCAGAGTTAATTCTCTCCAGCAAGAATTGTCTTCAAACTAATAATCTCAACATGTGTGCAGATATGCTAAACTCCCCCTGAATAACAAGCAGTGTGCAGAAATGCCAGATCATCCTTTGAATCAAGCTTGACTTCAAGTGACTTCACTAGTTTTCTTTGTGACAATCCAGATGTAGATTCCCATTGCCTTCTCCTAGTATGTTTCTTTCAACTTCTCCATCCACCATAAATCCCTAGTATTTCCTGAGTCTTTATCCAAGTAGTAACCAGGTCCAATCCTACTTTGTTTCTATACCCAGACAAGTTGACAATTTAGCTTTTTCAAGGTCAGCCAAGTTCACCTAGATGCTGGCCTTATTCTGCAAAACCAACTAGCAGACAAGATTGTCATCCAAAAGTCAAGTTGTACTGCAGTTGTATGCTTGGTGTGTTTTTAAAATTTACCTATAAAATATATTACTTCGTTTTCATATTCAAGTGGAAGTTCAACTTAAAAATAGTACATTGTGGGTATACTTTCCCAATGGCTGAGTCTTTGGGAAAAGGTAGCTTTAAAAGTTTTGAAGAAGTCAAATTTATGTGAATTCAAGAAATCCAAGAATCTCCAGATTATATAGGATGACTCTGCCATAAATACGGCCCAAGCTAATTTGACATGCACATAGAGAAAAACCATTGTAACTATTTTTAAGTTGCCAAAACAGGGCAGTAGCTGAGAATCTGGGGTTATGCTATCATCTAAGTCAGTGTTTCTCAACCTCAACAACTTTAAGATGTGTGGACTTCAACTCCCAGGATTCTGGGGGCTGAAGTCCACACGTCTTAAAGATGCTGAGGTTGAGAAACACTGCTGTAAGTCAGCTCACAACTGCACCATCTACATCTAACTCAGGCATTTCCAAGACTTCCAAGACGCTGAGTCTTTCAGCTCTGAAGAGCTGAAGCAAATCATAGTCAGTTTGAAGCCAGGATGAATAACACTGCCCAAGGTTGGGATATGGGACAACAATGCTCCCTAATGCATCTGGAAAGCTGACTCACTGGTGAGAGGCTTGAAGGCAAGGGGATCCACAGGATATGATTTTTAAAAAGTCAAGATAGCAGCCATGGTGTGATTGATGCTCCACCCAATTTTGTGTGTGTTGCACATAAAGAACAAGTGAAACTTCAATCATATCATTATGGCCACCAGCTTAACTTCTTTTTGCCATACCCTGTGGTCACCCTTGCCTAAATAAATGGAATTCAGCTTTGTTTCCCAAAAAGTCTGTGCCATATACTCCTATGACCCCACTGGTGAAAACTAGATGCAACCTTAACTTTCCACCAAAGGTGCTTTGAAAGATGAGTTCAGCAATAGGCAATTTCTGATCTGCAGGCCAGACAAATGCAGTAAACATCAGCAAATGTCAAAAACAGTTAACTAGCACAATGGGACCAAAGACAGATAAAAATGGAGAGACAGAAAGAGAAAGGAGCAACAGGCAATAAATTACATTACCTATCTCGCTATATATATCAAAAAGACCAAGCTTTCTAGGGCCATTGGAAACCCTGCTATGGGTAATTAGCATGGACAGTTCCACAAGGAATGGCCTTTGGACATTCCAGCTTTAACCCGTTGATGTCGCTAATGACAGTAGAATAGAGATGGAAAGTAAGACACCATGTGATTCCTCCTCTGTTCTGCACTATGAAGGAAACAGGTTGCTACATGAGGATGATGTACCCAACAATTTCTAGGCTCTCAGTAGGAAAATTCAAAAAACAAAGCAAAGCAAAACAAAAAATCACTCTTCCTTCTATTTGTTCTAGAGAGAGAAAAATGAGAATTCTTTGGTAGAAGGGTTAAGAACTAGAGTGAATCAGGAGGTTCAGCCTAATGGGAGGCAGTCTATTTTAAGTATCTTTTATGAGAGAACCCTGGGGATTTTAAATTATTTCCCTTCCTGCTTTATAACAGAGTCTCATCTCGATTCTGGAGAATCAGATTTGGTAAAAGGCTGTTATCTATATCGCTACTTAGAACCTGGATCTCTTTTCTGATAAATCATGTGAAAAAAAAATTTTAAATGTGATTTTGGCATCACACACACACACAATAGAACACATAAAACACAAAAGGATAGGTGTGCTGTAGCAGTGCATGTTATTCATGCAAATTATAATCAAATCCTGCAATGCTACTTTGCCTGCCCCAATTTCCCAAAATGTTTGAGGAAGACTGAATGCAGCCCTATATTCTTAGGTTAAGCATCTCCACTAAGTAGATGAAGTATTATGGGAGACTGGATTTATTCTACAAAAATAAAAATACCACGTTCTACTTCATCTTAGATTCTTTTCTTCTCCCCTGGATTCACCATCAAGGCATTCTAACCTGAACCCTATTTGTTGCAAATGCCACTGATCTTAAAAGACTAGATTAAACTGCAATTTAGTAAGTGAAAGCTAAATGTAATTTTAAAACCTCTAAAATTAAGGAACTAAGTGAACTTTGATGGATATGACTTGCATGGACAGTGCAAGAGAAAGAGTGTGGGTGGTGGAAGAGAACTTTCCCATTCTGTTCAATAGCAAATTTCCTTCTTACAAGTTTAGCAAATGTACAGCCACCCGCTGCTGGTAGCACTTAGAGCATAATGCATAATACATATCCCATAATACACAATGACCCCATATTGATATATACACCCACAGAGACACCGTCAAATGGAATTGCACATGGTTGGTAAACAGTTCCTGAGGGCAAAGCTTCTAAATACAATGTGGAATACTTCCCAACAAGAGTTCTCTGTATTATAAACATATTTTGAAAAGCTCTTTAACAGCAAGGGGTTACCAAAGAAAGCGCTACACATTGTACTTTTCACTCTTCAGGAACATGCCCATTCAAAGCATCACTCAGTTCCCCACATACTTACCCTTTCCTGAGCATAATATGCCATCGGCTGATTCACAAAAACTTCTGCTCTCGTCTTCTGCCATGTTGCATTTCCTTGGGTGTTGACACAATTTTCCAAACCATCCAGCCTTACAAATGCAGTGACCGCAGGAACAGGTCCCGTGATCTAGGTAGAAGGAGAATCCATGAGACAGGACTTTAATATGGAGAGGTGTTTATTCACCCTGTCCTTTCAGAGATGCTCATGAATCTGCATGTATTTCCACCTCTTACTAAGGCTGTGAGATTGATTAGGCTAAGAAAGAGAATGATTTGCCTCATATCTGATATATTCCTGCTCCCTCCCAGCACTGTTTTCCCTGTCATGTACTGAAGTTAGAAGAAAAGGCCTTTCTGCTAAATATCTGTAGAAGAGTCATGTCAGAAGTTTTGTTCAAGACCCTAATGAAACTTTGTCTTTATTTTTTTGTTTTATTGATTTCATTGTTATTTCTTTGATTGTTGTGAGCTGCCCAGAGTCACTGAGAGCTGGGCAGCATAGAAGTTTAATAAAATAATAATAATAATAATAATAATAATAATAATAAT